TATATTTATGCTCCGCTCTGACCCCACAAAAAAATGTTTGCACCACGACAAAACCAACTCCTAAAACCCTAATATTCAGAAGCAACCAACAAGTCTTTCACCCAAAACCCTGAAACAGCAAAACCCTAAAAATGTCATCTTCAATTCCTCTCCGCCATCTCCGCCAGCTCTCTACCACCGCTAAATCTTCAATCACCATCTCACAAGCGAAGACCAAGCTCCGAACAGAGCACGACCCTGACAAAGCCCTAGAGATTTACACCTCTGTCTCCGAACACTACTCGTCTCCTACCTCCTCTCGCTATGCTCAGGACCTCACCGTTCGTCGCCTCGCCAAGTCTCACCGCTTCGCCGACATCGAAAAATTCATTGAATCTCACAAAAATGACCCAAAAATCACCCAAGAGCCTTTCTTGTGCACCCTCATCCGATCGTACGGCCGCTCCGGCATGTTCGACCACGCAATGAGGACCTTTGATCAAATGGACCAGCTGGGTACTCCGAGATCTTCACTTTCCTTCAATGCTCTGTTAACTGCGTGCACCTATTCGAAACAGTTCGAAAAAGTCCCCCAGCTGTTCGATGAAATTCCCAACAAGCATGGTGTCTCCCCAGATAAAGTGTCGTATGGTATATTAATCAAGTCGTATTGCGCGGCTGATAAGCCCGAGAAGGCGATTGAGACTCTGAGGTTGATGGAGGAGAAGGGTATTGAGATAACTGCAGTGACATTCACCACAATATTCAATGCTCTGTATAAGAAAGGCAATGGTGAAGAGGCTGAGAACTTGTGGAATGAGATGGTTAAGAAGGGTATTGAGGTTGATGCTGCCGCTTATAATGTTAAGATTATGTATGTCCATGGCGGGAACCCGGACAATGTGAAAGCTTTGATCGAAGAAATGGCGAATGCCGGGCTGAAACCCGACACTATTAGTTACAATTACTTGATGAGTTGTTATTGCATGAATGAGATGAAGGAAGAAGCTGTCAAGGTTTATGAGGGGTTGGAGGGAAATGCTTGTAATCCGAATGCTGCAACTTTTAGGACTTTGATATTTTATCTATGTAAGAATGAGGATTATGATAAGGCGTATAAGATTTTCAAGAGGAGTGTGGAGGTGCATAAGATCCCCGACTTTAATACGATGAGACATTTGGTTGAAGGATTGGTGAAGAAGAAGAAGATGAAGGAGGCCAAGGGATTGATACGCACAATTAAGAAGAAGTTCCCTCCTAATGTTTTGGTTGCCTGGAAGAAAGTGGAGGAGGGTCTTGGTTTGGCTTCTTCTGATAGGAATGCTTCTTCGGTTCCTGATGACGAAGAGGCTAAGGAGGCTACAGCATAGTTATTGGCGGGATTCTGGTTGGTCTTGTGCTGAATGTGTTGATTACTTCATCTGCGGCCGCCCGAATTGATCTGGTGAAACCGTGAGCAAGGATGTCGATTTTCCGAGGAAGCAAGTTTGAAGCTTTTGGAAATTGTAATGCTGTAGAAGCTTCAATTTTGATTTTTATGTTAGTTTTCTACTCTGCTTTCTGCTATTTGGTTGAATCTGTTCACCTATTGTAGTGCTAGTAAAAATTACTCGGCTCATCTGGCATTTAGTAAGATTTCCGAGCCCTTGTTCAAGCTGTCTTTTATCCAGATATGGAAGCAGGCATATTTTATTACTTTGCATCCTGCTTATGCCATATCCAGTATGAGGATTCCGTTCACATCCTGCTAAGTGTTAACACTCTGTAATGTTTTATTTTCCTTTATAAATTTTGATTAACAATATGTTACATTAGAGTATTGTGATAACTTCGCTCAAGAAAAAAGCTGGTTGAAAGTTGTCCTGCCACCAACTATTGGTGTGGATTCAGTGGTCTGCTTGGAAGTCTACTGGAGTAGAGCATATATATTGAATTGCAAATTGCAAACCAGAGTGAGTTTAACGGCTATGAAGAAATGTTCATATTACAATTCGAACCAGAGTGAGTTTAATAGTTTAAGTAATACAGTTCTCTGTCAAGGACCCACAAAACTATTTTGGCTCAGAATCAGAACCAAAAATTTATTTGGAGTTCCCAGATTGTATAGAATAGAGGAGGTCACTGGGTTACTGTTACAGAGGAGGTAGCCTGCATATGAGAGTCGTTCGATTGTAAATGAGAGAGCCATTGAATTGCAGGAGAGAGTGTCAAGGAGAGAAGATAAACTCAGCCAAAGCTATTTTGTTATACACCAAAGAGCAAAAGAAAAAACTCAAAATCACTGTCAGCAGTAAAATTTATAACTAGACATATGACATTTTGTGGGTCAGTTATTTGCTAATTTCTTTTTGTAAATAGAGTAATAAGGAAAGTTTTTCAGGCCCAACCCTGCTGAGTGAAACGAAGATGCCACAGCTTAGCTTAGGCTGGCTATCTTGAAGTTCAGGTTCTCTTTCCTTTATTGTACTTGCAGTTTTAGTTTAATGTTCCTTCCGTTCAGTTCTACTTTCGGTTCAAGTAGTTGATTTTGTTTAATTGCTTTCAGATTACTGAAGATTTATCATTGGAGTTGTTTGTTCAGCTGGCCCTCTTAGCGTGCCCCTGTTGAAGATCAAAGCCTGCCTTGCAGGTTTTGCTGGTTGCATACCTGTGTGTTAAACTCCCAATGAAAATATATGAATTTGAGCGAGAAGCCTTCACCAAGGATACGATTTTGTTGAAATCTGTAATGAGAAAGATTCTGATTATGGAATCAATAATGGTCCTTTTCTCAAGTTACTCTAGCTCCCTTTTCCTTGTTAAAGTTTTCTACTTCCAACTCTATTTTGTATTTGACTGCCAAACAGGAAATCAAGGTGCTTAATATGATCAAACTTTATGGGAAGCCAATATGTGTAAATAAGGTACTGAACTGTTTTTCTTCCCTAGCTATCATTTTCTGGGTCTGTACATCTGTCATCTTGTTCTACATAGACAGGTGCCAATCATAGAATTGCACTTAATTTTTGTTTTTTGAGGGCTAGGCATTCTGTTGTGTCTCTACCGACTGCATATCATATATGTTCTGTAGTGATGATAGATTGTGTGAGAGTTTTCAAGTATCTAAACTAGGGAGGGTTCTACTTATAAGTAAAAGCGGAACTTCTGCTACGCCTTGTTATGAGTTCCATGCTATCACTCCTGGAAATTGGAAATTATATTTGTTTTGGTTTTGAAGCCAAAGTCAAAAGGGTATTATTTTAGTTGCAATACACATATAACTTCTGGCATTTGCTCATTGTTGTAATACTTGCTGAAATGGTGGCTATTTTACATGAAGTTGATTTAGAATTTGAATTTCTTGCACTGCAGTTTTACATTACAAAGTAGCCCAAAACTTATTTTTCTCTGTAGTTTCTTCTGTTGAGTGACAAGAAGGGACTAAATAGGTAGGCTGGGCTAGAACTTAGAACTAAACAAGCCAGATAGATAAAGATCACGGGCACCGTGATTCAGACTCAGTAGACCACAGGGTTGGGATCTTTGATTTGATCCTCTAAAAAAGTGTGCCTCAAACTCAATCCCAAAGGCAAATAGTAGGTAGAAACAAAGATAAGAATCCAAGGGTGGAGGACACATGGGTTATTGCTGCAACTGTGACTGGCTGATGACAAAGATTTTCTGATGAAACAGAGACATAATGAGCACGCTGCAAGGCTAAGCTCTAAGCCTCTAAAGCTAAGATTGATAGATAGATAGAAAGATGGATACACACAGAAGAGACACGAGTACATATGAACCAGAAAGATCTGATCAACTGAGCTCATGCGCTAAAAGAAGCTCTGCTACTTACTTGTGGTAAATAAAACTCATAGGGACATGTGCTGCTGATTTCAATTTTGAGCCAGCTATATAATTTCTCAGGTGGATGATGAATCTCTGATACCTTGTGTGCCCTCTCCACACTGAAACTTTACCATTTCCAGAAAAGATTCATTCTCTTCAGCCAAGAAAGAGAGAGAAAATTAAATGACAGCCTAATCAGCCATTTACTATTAACAGTATGAGTGAAGTGTTACTTTTTACTGCAGTGCTGGGTCACAACAACCAAGTGAGAGAGAGAGAGAGTGA